ATAATTAATAAAATGAACATTTAGAAACAAAATTGATCTAAAACTTGATGGAAATATTCCTAATTTTTTTTCTCTCATTTGATAATTATATTTTCAAATATTCTAACCAAATGATACAACAAATCATCAACTAAATTTGATATAAATAAATGAATTATAGTGAAAATTACATTTTATGGAGACTTTTTTGTTCCATCTTTACTAATTAAACCCTAAAAGGTTGATGTCAAATTATCCTGATAATACTTTAAAACTTAAAATTAAAGATTTAATCTTAGATTGAAATCTTAGATTCAATCCTTTATAATTCTATTTTCAATATTTCAAGGATTCTTAGCTATTTACAAATACAAATCTTAAATAAATACTTAAAACGAACAAAAATTTAGTTAAACCATTTATCTATTAAATTTATATGTTAACTTTATCCCCATCTTGGATTTTGATTTCTTATTTATAGAATAATCAAGCTATAGGCCTTCAAAGAAAACACATATCACAATTTTTAAGATTTTAATTTCCTTCTTTAAAATTTTAACTATCCCTCTAAAACTCTATCTTCCCATTTTTTAATTATTCTATAAGAAGAATCGTTAACTCAAAATGAACTTTTGCTACTATTCTTCGATTTGATTGAATCAAAATCCCTCTTGGTAATTTCACAAGAAATGATAATTAGATTTGCTAAGAAATCATGTGCTTTAACTCTTTGGATATTTGGTTACTACTAAAAAAGTCTCAATTTCTTTCAGGACCAACGTTTTTTCGTTTGATTGGAATCATTCGCTTCCACCTTTTTTATCATTTGGATCCTTATTTAATTATGTTTTATTATCCACAATCAATTGAGACTATAATTTTAGATTTTTTTAAATCTTATAATTAACACCTTTGCTACCCTTGTGGTGTCTTAATAATTAATTTTCTTTCATTTTTTTTAAAATAAGGATGTTCTTTGGTTTTAATTCCACTTTTTCAGATAATTAAATACATTATACTTTGAATTTAGAATATTTGATTGAATGATTAAATTCAAATTTACTTAATTAAAAGTGTAGATTTCTATTTCTTTTGGTGAAAAATTTCTCCTCCTTTTTATGTACATTCTGAGAATTCTCTGAAAGCCTATTTTACTTAATACTCAAAACTAGTTTATAATTAACCAATAGATAGGATTATCCATCTCATTTATGAGAAATATTTCAATCGTCAATAAAAAATCTCATGAAATTGTTTAGATTCCTTATTTTTTTAATTAAATTTAAGCATCGAAAAAATAATAATAATTTTCCATATTACAATGAAGTAACTCATTTTCAACAGGGAGAAGGTGAGTGTTAAATATCTGCCTTCATTGAATAATTATGTGCATATGTAATAATATAATAATTAGAATATCAAAATTTAAACTAATTCGAGTTTTTAGGTTGGACGTACAGATTGGAACCCATATATAGTTTATCTGGAAAAAAATCTAATAAGTTGGGATATCTATAATACAATAAAAGATTAATTAACCAAAGAATTTAAGAATAGAATCTGTAAGCTAATCTGTAAATTGAGGATTGAAAATCTATGTAAAATTATTAAGAAATTGCTCTATGTTATGTTGATCATTTAGAAATTGCGACTGAAATAATTTTATATTGACAACAGATTTTAAACTTATTTATTTTTAAAATAGGTGTACATTTAGTATTAAAAATTGAAGTTTGGAAAATTTGGAGATAAAATAATTAGAAGATACTAAGTATCAAAATATTCTTATTTTTTCTATAAATTTCGTATCTCTTGTTTTATATCCTCAAAATTAAATTTAGAAACAGTGAATTCTAAAATCTCAAATTCAAATGTTTTAATTACAAATACTCTCTTATTTTATTTTTCAAGCTTCGTAACTTTGGATTGTTGTCTGGAGCTAATTTGCTAATCAAAAAGAATGTTTGAAAAACCCTAATATTATAATCAATAATCCTTAAATGAAGCAATATCATAATTAAGGTTGGTTTAAAAAAACATAAATATAAACTTCATATCTCATAAGAATATCTTTATTAATTTAAGTGTAAATAGTATGTAGGCAGATTGAAAAGGAACTGATATATATAAAACACTCCAAATATAGCATTTATGATATTAGTATTTATTAAAAATAATTTCAAAACAATTTCAATTTGTTTCAGATGATAAAGATATCAATGTTAACTTAATATTTATAAGAATTTAAGTTAGATTGACTAGAAATAAATATATCACAAATTATACCTTACCCAAAATTAATTAATACTATTAAAAAAAAGGAAGATTTAATTATATAAGTATTATTTCTAATTCCTATCCATAAAAC